CCCTTTATAAGAGATATTAACCTCCTTTATAAGAGATATTAAACCCCTTTATAAGAGCTATTAAACCGATTTATAAGAGATATTAAACTCCTTATAAGAGATATTAAACCCCTTTATAGGAGACATCAAACCCCTTCATAAGAGTTATTAAACTCCTTATAAGAGATATTAAACCCCTTTATAGAAGACATCAAACCCCTTTATAAGAGATATTAAACCCCTGAGAAATATTAAACCCCCTTATAAGAGATAGTAAACATACGATATATTAAACTCCTTTATAAGAGATTTTAAACATAAGAGATATTAAACCCCTTTATAAGAGATATTAAACCCCCTTATAAGAGATATTAAACCCCCTTATAAGAGATATTAAACCCCCTTTATAAGAGATATTAAACCCCCTTATAAGAGATATTAAACCCCCTTATAAGAGATATTAAACCCCCTTTATAAGAGATATTAAACCTCTTTATAAGAGATATTAAACCGATTTATAAGAGATATGAAACCCCCTTATAAGAGATATTAAACCCCTTTATAAGAGATATTAAACCCCCTTATAAGAGATATTAAGCCCCTTTATAAGAGATATTAAACCGATTTATAAGAGATATTAAACCCCTTTATAGGAGACATCAAACCCCTTTATAAGAGATATTAAACCCCTTTTTGGAGACATCAAACCCCTTTATAAGAGATATTAAATCCCCTTATAACAGATATTAAACCCCTTTATAAGAGATATTAAACCCCCTTATAAGAGATATTAAACCCCCTTATAACAGATATTAAACCCCTTTATAAGAGATATTAAACCCCCTTATAAGAGATATTAAACCCCCTTATAAGAGATATTAAACCCCCTTATAAGAGATATTAAACCCCCTTATAAGAGATATTGAACCCCCTTATAAGAGATATTAAACCCCTTTATATAATTACAATGAAGATAACAGAATAATTATATAGAAGATAAGAGTTAATTAGTGTCCATAATGAAACAGTTTTACATAAATGTGATGACAAGAAGGAGAGAAAATTGCAATACTCTATTTCATAAAACACCTAATTGACATAATTACCATGTTAATGAATGTAATTATATAGAGAATATTAGTCAAGAGTTATCAAAGAGTTTCATAGTGTACAAGTAATTCTCTTAACCACTTTGACTAGAAATGGACAATTATAGACGATCTTTGTAATCTAAATGACATTAAAAGAGATGTAGCTAATTTACATAATCACTTTGACAACAATGTAAAGAATATTCATCAGCCTTTGAGTATCAGGGTATTACGTTCATTCACTCAGCAACCAATCCAATCACTTGCAATGGTCGCGCCTCCATGTCACGCCTACGTAGTCAGGAACCAATCAAATCATTTCCAATCGACACATTTCCACGCACCCAACCATTCACTTAATAGGTAATCCAATCACTTCCAATTGACACACCTTAACGTCACGCCCATACAGTCAACAGCCAATCAAATCACTTCCAATTGACACACCTTAACGTCACGCCCATACAGTCAACAGCCAATCAAATCACTTCCAATTGACACACCTTAACGTCACGCCCATACAGTCAACAGCCAATCAAATCACTTCCAATCGACATACCCCTCCCCATCCGCCCGCCCTGTCAGGAACCAATCAAACCACCTTACTGTGACTGACTTGCACTTGTACCTGTTAAAAATAGGAATAAATAGTTTTAATAAGAATTCTGTTTGCGAGTGTCAGCAGCCTGTTGATACCGTATACATGTTGGAGTGGGTGGAGCTTGACGGAGTGGGTGGAGCTTGACGGAGTGGGTGGAGCTTGACTGAGTGGGTGGGCTTGACGGGTGGGTGGAGCTTGACGGAGTGGGTGGAGCTTGACGGAGGTGGGCTTGACGGAATGGGTGGAGCTTGACAGGTGGGTGGAGCTTGACAGGTGGGTGGGCTTGACAGGTGGGCGGGCTTGATTGGGTGGGCGCTTGAATGGGTGGAGCTTGACGGAGTGGGTGGAGCTTGACGGAGTGGGTGGAGCTTGACGGAGTGGGTGGAGCTTGACGGAATGGGTGGAGCTTGGCATAGTGGGTCAACTCTACCCCTCCCCCCAACTCCCCTTCCCCAACTCCACCCTTCCCCTCCACCTCCCCTCCCCCCCCCTAAATATCCTTCTCATTCCCCTAACAACAACATGCTAACAGGAACGAGACTCAGGATATAAATGATAAAACATAATTATAGTTAACAGGTGATAAACATGATAATAGTTAACAGGTGATAAACATGATAATAGTTAACAGGTGATAAACATGATAATAGTTAACAGGTGATAAACATGATAATAGTTAACAGGTGATAAACATGATAATAGTTAACAGGTGATAAACATGATAATAGTTAACAGGTGATAAACATGATAATAGCTAACAGGTGATAAACATGATATTAGTTAACAGGTGATAAACATGATATTAGTTAACAGGTGATAAACATGATATTAGTTAACAGGTGATAAACATGATAATAGTTAACAGGTGATAAACATGATATTAGTTAACAGGTGATAAACATGATAATAGTTAACAGGTGATAAACATGATAATAGTTAACAGGTGATAAACAAGATATTAGT